GAGAGAGAGAGAGAGAGAGAGAGAGAGAGAGAGAGAGAGAGAGAGAGAGAGAGAGAGAGCTGTGCGTGTGTGTGAGAGAGAGAGAGAGAGAGAGAGCGAGAGAGCGAGAGAGCGAGAGAGGGCGGATGAAAGGATCCCGTCGCGCAATCATGCGTGTACGCAAGTCGCGCGATCACTGTGTGAGTGGATGTCCGGATGTGTAGCCTGGAGGCTAGGCGACCGGTTCCGGACGCGTAGCCTGGAGGCTAGGCGACCGGTTCCGGATGCGTAGCCTGGAGGCTAGGCGACCGGTTCCGGACGCGTAGCCACTGCGTATTAATTATTTATTACCTGCAATTTCGCGATTTCTGGGCATTTGTGTGCTTTACCGTGTGGCCTTAAGTTCACACGTCCAAACTTTTGCATGCTAGTTTTCATCAGTTCGAGGTTTTTGTAGAGTCCGTCCAAGTCAACGACTAAAGCTGGAGTGTAGATGTCTTGAATTTTGTCTCCAACCTTGCACGGTTTCGCACCGCTAGCTATGGAGTGCGCCATCTTGGAGAGAGTCCTCGAAATGCTCACTCGCATTCGTCCTGTGCTATTATGAAAACGTAGGTTAGTTTGTAAATCTACAGTCGGCAGTAATCGTGTGTATAATTAAGTGTATGTATACGAAATGACGAAGATATCCTAGTTTAACGACAGTAGTAGTACTACTACTAGACTAGCTACTACTGGTGGTAGTAGGCGGGGCATGTAAAAAAAACCACTGCACGCCACGAGTGGCGGCTGATTACTCAGTGACGTCATATGGCGGTCAGCTGTCAACATAGACTGGTACTCGCTCCCACCTCAATTACTCGATGGGACCAAGAGGTGGGACCGGGTACCAGTCTACTGTGAACATTCGTGTGTAGCAAGCATTCATGGTTTACATTAGACTGGTACCCGGTCGACAGTTCCACACGCTACACTAACGTCAGTGTAGCGAAGGATATATGCCGAAGTGAAGGTGGCGAACGGGTACCAGTCTACTGCGAACATTCGTGTGTAGCAAGCATTCATGGTTTACATTAGACTGGTACCCGGTCGACAGTTCCACACGCTACACTAACGTCAGTGTAGCGAAGGATATATGCCGAAGTGAAGGTGGCGAACGGGTACCAGTCTAGGTCTACATGCCTGCATTTGTTTACAGCAAAGTTTCACGGTACTTCGTTTTTTATCTGTCAGAGTGTCTCTCCAAATATATAGGTAGTGGCCATTATCTGAGGTCATAGTGTTTTAAGTTGATATAGGCCTGTCCTCAACGCTCTTGATTATAACTTACACTACAGGCAGAACTAGTTCATATCATGGCACTTTCTACTCGGAGATTTGCACCGAGATTTTTGCGCAGACTTTGTGGAAACGGTTACGGATTATCTAACACACGATGCACCAATCCTATGATCTTCAAGCAATTTCACGCTACTCCACTTCCCAGGTATGTTGGGATGCATATTGGTACAGTCTATAGTTTGCAACAAGGTATATATACCTTGATGGGAATATAAGAACAGGGACGATCACACTCTCGAGTCTATACACATCTCTAAATCCTTTACCATATCCTCCTCTTCCTCCTCTGTCTTCTCGCTTTCCTCAACCCTCTCCCACTCCTCTATCTTGAGTCTCCCCCCTTCTCCACATTCTTCCTTTTAAATTTTATCTTCTCCCCACCTTGTACCTTTTCCAAGTATTGTATGTACCCTTGCCCCTAGTTCTTGTACCTTCTCCCTTCTTGTACCTTCTCTCCCTCTGTAAGTTCACCCCTTCTGTACTTTGGCTTAATTCTCTCTCTCTCTAAAAGGTAATCATGGAATAGATGTGAAAAATCTTTTCAGGAAGTGTCTGTTGGTGTTAACAAGGAGCCTGTGTGTGGCGCCATCCAATGTCGGGTTTCATGACTACGAGCTTGAAAGACGGACATTCAAGATAGATGTGCCGCACAAGTTCAATTTTGTCAGAGATGTCATTGAGAAATGGGCAGAAAAGGAAGAGGTAATCTCCATGCCCGGCCCCCCCCCCACTCCGAGGTCGGAGGGACCGCATGCGCGTTCCCAAAATCTCCGGTAAAGGGGTATTTTTCGCGCGACAAAATCCGGCCCAAGAATTGTAAAAAAAAGGGGGTGTATTTTACTTTTCACCTGGAGATTTCTTTAAAAAGGGGGTGTTTTTCCTCTCTTTTTCATCTTGAATATCATAGAAAACTTTATCAAATTCCGGGATCAAATTCCTGAAATTCCTGCTAGTTTTGAAAGCTCATTCAGGATTATTTAATTTTGAAATGTAAAAATATTGCCACCTAGTTCCCCTCGATTACTGAACTCTACACTACATAGTGTAGAGTGGTTCGACAGTTCCACACGCTACACTAACGTCACTACGGTTGGAATGAGAGCTAACCTGAGATAGGGGTACATTGAGCAGTGTTCCGGATTTAGGGGGGTCTCCAAGGCAGGAAAAACCCGCAAAAAGCCCGCGAAAGGGGGGTTCAGACATTTTTGCAGTCCTGAGATAGGGGGGTGCTTTCAAAGGGAGGGAATGAGCATATGCGTACCCTAAATAACACTGAGTGGAGGGGCCGGGTCTCCATGCATGTTAGATAGGGGATTGCCCTCTCAATTATTCATCTAGTATAATATCAGGAGTAAATGAAGACGAATTATACATTTGACTTTATTCACTTTATTCACATACAATGTTCCATTAGCACATATAGTGGTTCATAACATTAGCTACTATGTAAGAACTATTCATACCAGTGTTTACATTGCTGTGATCAATCAATGCTGCAATCAGATAGTTGTGAAAAGTGATGTTTTATTTTATTGATTAGATTATGGAATCTGCATGTAGAGATCGAGTCATTAATCGCTCAGTATTCGCTTATTGAATGTATCACCAAGTTACTATATAGCAACCTCATGCCAATGGCAATATGCCTGCTAAACATTGCCAACCGATTTCTGATCTAGTCTGGGGAGAGGAAGCCCCTTCCGGCTCTCTGGTTCATCGAGACTTCAGGACGAGAACACAAGTGGAGCTACGGCGACCTAGCGCAGAAAGCAAAACGGTAAAAATACGAAAAATTTAAAGCACAAGAGACAACGAATGTTACGAATTACAAAAGAAACCTCATCTGATTGGTCGATTGTCGCGTTTCCAGTGGCGCCACCGCGCTTGAGACGGGGGCCGGACTGGCTAGGGGCGATCGAACGCTCATCATCATGCCAAAGATGCCGGAATGGTGGCTGATATACATGGCATGTGTCCGCTCAGGTGAGACTCTCTGATACGCACGACCTTCGACGCGGCTCTACGCATAATTCCACGGGCCGTATATGTCGTCAAGAGCTAATAATACCTTCTTTTATTATGGGTGTTAGTAGCTTGGGTGTTGGGTATCATTAGCTATTGATATATCGTTACACATCTACTTGTGGAAGTTGTTTACACGTGTTGGGTTTTGTCGGTCATTTAGAAGGGTGTAAATTCCTAAATGGAATAGACCACTGCATCTCACATACAACGAATCAACATTGGGGATCCTTTAGTACTCTGAGAGCGCGCTATGTGCATGAGTAATGTCATCTTCCAGCCACTTCAAGTGCACTGTTGCACATTTCACACATCGTGCGAGGCGGCGCAGCGAGATAGACGTGACGCGATCGCATCCGTCCGTCCGCCAGTATCCGCTCCCTCAGCCTGGACCCTCGCCACGATCCCCGCCTCGGTCTGATCCTAGGTGGCGCCAGCATGCGTTCGGTGTCCGACGGTCGCCACGGTCATTGATCTGTGTCGCGCGCGTGCGTTTGCAGGCATCGTGCTGTGTCCGGGAACGACCTTGCTGCGACCTGCAGACATTGAACATCGCCTCCAGGTGTCAGCAGCAGTCGCCATCATTGCCGGCGAGGACGTCGCCGACACTGTAGACCAGGTCAGAGTGCGGGCGTGATGCAGCGCCATCTATTGGCATTAGCGTGAACAAAGCTATACATTACTATATAGAATATGTATATGTATCCATCTTTATCATTCAATCAAGAACATATATTGTATACAATAGTATACATATAAATGTATATATTGTATACAGAATGAACGTATGTACGTACGTTTTGCAGTGAACCTGATCGTGTTGTGATTGTGTAAAATGTGTTTTCAATACATAACTGCATGCATGAATGCTGCTTGCTTGTATTTGCATGTATTTCTAACCCAGACAAAAACGAGTGTCAACCGGTTACAGGGAATTAAGGTTGTGTTTTTCGTGTTGAATATAATATTATTTGATATAGAATGTAACTTGTAATATATGTCCGATGTAACTTTGTGTTGTTGTTCAGGTTGCCAAGACATGTCCGAATCTGAAAACTAAAATTGTTGTCGGCAAGAACGAGGTTTCAAGGTAAGTTGTTTTCATATTTTCATCTAACATTTATTACTTATTTTTTATATTTCGTAAGGTTACTATAGGAATGTTTTTTATGTAATTTTTTTCTGCCTTTTCTTCATGCAATGACCTCTATGTTTGCATGTGATCATCATGCTATGTTTGCATGTGATCATCATGCTATGTTTGCATGTGATCATCATGCTATGTTTGCATGTGATCATCATGCTATGTTTGCATGTGATCATCATGCTATGCGTTGCATCACAATATCAGTGATGATTAACATAACTAATTATTAAGTCTTCCCAGGTTGATTTAGTATGCATACACTAACCACGAATATTCAGATGGCTTATGTTTGAATTTATTTTAGAAATGGCTGGCTTGACTTCAAAAAATTGTATAACAATGCATCCGATGAGCATGAGGTATATTTACATCGTCTGTTTTTCTCATTATATTATTCTAGCATGAAATGCATGATATCGAATTTGCAAGCAGCATGAACACAACGCTGTAGAATATAGTGAAATTCTTGGAAGACGACAAAAGTGCTTCAATAATTGCTTTGTCACAGATGTGAGAGTGTTGTTGGTTATTTTGCAGTGTGCCGATACACTGGCAACAGATGCCATGAACATATTTTTCACGAGCGGTACCACCGGTCATCCTAAGATGACCTTACACACCCAGGCTAGCTATGGTCTAGGCCACCTCATCACCGGAAGGTGCAGTAATTAAAGCGACACTCGTGCATTGTGACATTTTAAATGTAATTTTATATTTTCGTATTCGTAATCATCAACAAGAGACTAATTCCGTTACTTTGCTTAATTAAATATTGCAATATTGCCGATAGGTTTGTGTTATCGGACATATGTTTGTGTTATCACTGTATGTGCGTTATTCATGCATCTCCTGCGCTTTCTCCGGCAGACACTGGTTGGATCTGTCGGATCGTGATGTTCTGTGGGCGCTCTCGGACACCGGATGGGCGAAGTCTGCTTACAGTAATGTATTTGCTCCGTGGCTGCAGGGAGCCTGCGCGTTCATACATGAAATGCCGAAGTTCGACAGTAAACAGACACTAAACGTAAGCTGATAGCGAGATTGTGTTACAGCGTACTGACACTGTTACAGAGACTGTTGGATTTACCTTTGTAGAAATAGCTCGTCTCATTTCATGACAACACTAGCGATTGCGATATCGTGTATGGCGTTTGTGTGTGGCATGTACAAGTGCACCGTTTTCACATGATTTTGACATTCGTCACATTCTCAGTGACTATAGTCAAGAATAAATGCGGCTAGTACTAGTAGAAGATCACGTATCTTGAGAGGCAATGGCTAACCACGTACCCAGACCCCGCTCCCTCCCGTCGTTCTTTCCTCACAGGTGCTGCTTCAGTATCCAGTGACAGTGTTCTGTGCGCCACCTACTGGCTACCGCATGATGGTACTGGACCACGACTTATCGGGCATAAAACACGCAGCCGTTAGACACTGTGTGAGCGCGGGCGAACCCCTGGTGAGTCGTGAGGCGGCGTGAGCGCGGGCGAGCCCCTGGTGAGTCGTGAGGCGGCGTGAGCGCGGGCGAGCCCCTGGTGAGTCGCGAGGCGGCGTGCGTAAGAATACGTCATATATATGTACGACACCTATTGTTAAGATGTTCACTTGTTCATTGCGGAATATAGCATAGAAGATTAAGCTATACTTCAGTGTTTATTGTTCATGAGTACACACATACAAACAACAGATGTTGTAACAGTGTGGATGAGGCTCGGAAGGTATCAGGGGGGGGGGGGTGAGAGTTGATGTACCGCGGTGTGTGAAAATGTGGAGGATAACAAGTTTGAAAGAGGCGTGGTCCGAGAATAGTTCCATTTTTACCTCTACGATGGCGGGCACGAGCAAGTTCGCGGGCGCGCGAGCAGAGCGTATATAAAGTTGAGCGAATATTTACGTATCGTATTGTTTTTGGAGTTTTTGCAGTACCGTAATAGTTGTTGATTTTTTTAGCTCTCTTTTCCACAATTTCTATTTATCTACAGCTATTTGTTTCTGCAGTAAATGTAGCCAATTGATTTAATAGTTCTGATTAAATTCGCCACAGAATCCAGAGGTGATAGAGAAGTGGAAGGAACAGACAGGTCACACCATCAGGGAGGGATACGGACAAACCGAAACAGTGAGTTTTACTTTCAACCCTAACCCAGCTATTTAAGAATATCTCTTTTACATTTTAACTTCTAGTGTGTTGATCACCCTTACTATTACCTGCCCAAAAAAAAATTAATATCGAAATATATAATAGTAAATATAAATATGTAGATAGAATAATTCTATATAATATAATAATGTAGAATTACAATTAAAAAATTAACATCTTGCAGACTCTTCTAGCTGGAACGTATCGATGCATTCCCGCGAAGGCTGGTTCGATGGGGAAACCTGCTCCTGGTTATGACCTACAGGTTCGTGAAGCTGCCACACCAGCATGTTCAACGTGAGATATCAGCTGTAAACGTGACGTCAGCTGTAAACGTGACGTCAGCTGTAAACGTGACGTCAGCTGTAAACGTGACGTCAGCTGTAAACGCGTGACGTCAGCTGTAAACGCGTGAGCGTAGCTCGTCAAACGCGTAGACGTCAGCTGTAAACGCGTGACGTCAAGCTGTAAATTCGTGACGTCCAGCTTAGTGCATTGTGCATAGTGCATAGTGGCAGTAAAACGTGAGCGTCAGCTGTAAACGTGATGTCAGCCTGTAAACGTGACTGTCAGCGTGTAAGAGCGCGTGACTTGCAGCTCGTAAACGTGTGACGTCAGCACTGTAAAGCGTGACGTCCAGCTGTAAACGTGAGCGTATCAGCGTGTGAAACGGTGATGTCAGCTGTTAAACAGTTGACGGTCAGCTGTTAAACCGGTGCACGTCAGCTATGTAATACGTGACGTCAGCTGTAACGTGAAGGCAGCTGTTGAAACGTCGACACGTTCAGATGTAAACGTGAACGTCAGCTGTATAACGTCGACGTCAGTATATCTGTCGTGACGTCAGCTGTAAAGACGCGTTCGACGTCAGCTTAAACGCGCTGACGTCAGCTTGCAAAACGCGTGACGTCAGCTGTAAACGTGACGTCAGCTGTAAACGTGATCGTCAGCTGTAAACGCGTGACGTCAGCTGTACACGTGACGTCAGCTGTAAACGGTGACGTCTAGCTGTAAACACGCGTGCAGGTGACGTCAGCTTGTAAACAGCGTGAGCGTACTATGTAACACGTGAGCGTCCAGCTGTAATAACGCGTGACGTCAGCTGTAAACGCGTGACGTCAGCTGTAGAGACTGCGAACGTCAAGCTGTAAACGCGTTGACGTCGGCGGGTAAACGTGACGGTCAGCTGTACAACGATGACGTCAGTGTAAGACGTGATCGTCAGCGTGTTAAACGACGTGCCGTCAGCTGTAAACGCGCTGACGTCACAGCTGTAAACGCGTGACGTCAGCTGTAAACTGAGTGAGCGTCAGCTGTAAACAGCGTGACGTCAGCTGTAAAACGCGTGACGTCAGCTGTAAACAGTCGACGTCAAGTTGCTGTTAAACGCGATGAGCGTTGCAGGCTGTAAACGGGGACGTCAGACTGTAAAAGCGTGAGCGTCAGGGCTGTAAAGCGCTGACAATCATCTGTAAACGTGACGTCAAGCTGTATCGCTGTGCATGCACACCTTTGATAAAGTATGCTGTGAAATCTGCGTGTAAGAAAAATAATTTGCGAAAAACTGATAAATAAAAAGATGCGAGTTAAATAGTAATCACGATAAGGTAAGTAAGTGGGTATGCAACACCAGATGCGTAGCAGCTGTGTAACAGAGGGTGTGTAGAAGTGCACCCGTACTTAAAGTACAAATGAATGTTGGTCAGGCACCACTAAAATTGCACTTCAAAGTAACGTGCAAAAGTCGCATGATTTCGAGCAGGGTACTGTAATTTATGTAGTGAGCGACAATATGAATATATGTTGTCAACGTCAGGCAGAAGAGTTTCGTGCGTACGCCGTATAAATGCCTCGATATCAGTATCTGGTTGGTAAGCGACTAATCGCTACATCTTACCCGCGTTGTTTCCTTCTGCGATAGATCGTGATGAGGAAAGGAGGGTGCCGGCCGAATCGTAGAAGGAGACATCGGTGCTCAGGAGTGATAACACCACACGCTATCCTGTCGGCTTGTTCATGTGACTACGTGGTACGTACAATGCGTGCATGTGTGTGTGTGGCGTGTGCGTGTGGGCGCTGTGGGTGCGTGTGCGTGCATAATGTACATACACGTGTGCGTACATGCATGGCATGTGTTGCGTGCGTACGTGTATGCGCATGCATGCATGCGTATGTACATGTAATGGCGGTGCATGCGTGGCGTATGGTACATGTAGCGCGTGTGTGCGTGGCATGCTGTGCGTATGTAGCATGTATGTGGTGTGTGGCGGTGAGCATACATGCGTATGTACAGTGTTTGCGTGGGCTATGCGGTACGTGATGGTCATGAGTATGTCAGGTGTGTGTGCACGTGACAATCGTCGGGCTGTTAATGTAGTAGCTGTATGACGTGTAGGATGCGTGCAATGCATGCCACGATATAGTATGCACTAGTATGCGTGCTGGTTGCGCATAGTTGCATGCGTGGCGCAGTATTGGTAATGTATAGTGCGTATGTGCGCTGAGGTCATGTCTGACGTGTCAATATTGTACGATGTATCGCAATTGTATGGTCGTGCGATCGCAATGCATATGTGTAGCATATGTATGGCGTGTGTGTCGTCGCATAGCCTGCGTATGTACATGTATGCGTGTGTGTGGGGCACTGCAATAGTGCGTATGTACTATTGTAATGCGTGTGTGCGTGCATTGAGGTTACATGTGAGCGCGGTGTGTGCGTGCCAAGCGGCAAATGTACATGTATAGCTGTGTGTGTGCTGCACATGCATGCCTATGTACATTGAGTGGTATGGCGTGTGTGGCGCACATAATGTAATGTATGTCCGGTGTGTGTGGTCAGCATAGCGTGGCGTATGTTACAATGTATGCTATGTGTGCGTGCGAGGTGCCACTGCGATATGTAAGGCCTACATGTTATGCATGCGTGTGTGCGTCATGCATGCGATATTACATTGTCACTGCGTGTGTACGTGCATGCGTGTCGTATGGTACATGTATGCGTGATGTGGCGTCCATGCATGCGTATTGTAGGAGGCGTATGACGTGTGTGGCGTGCATGCATGCGTATGTTAACATGTGTAGTGCGTCGATGTGCGTGCATTGCATGCGTATGTACATGTATGCGATGTGTGCGGCATGCGTGCGTATGTACATGTATGCGTGTGTGCGGGCATTGCGCGTGCGTATGCACCATGTATACGTGATGTGCGTGCATGCGTGCGTATGTACAATTATGCGTGTGTGTGTGCATGCGTGCGGTATTGTAGCTGACTATATGCGTGTGTGGTCGTGGGCATGCCGATGCGTATGTACATGTATGCGTGTGTGCGTGCATGAGCAGGTGGTCAATGTACAGTGTATGCGGTGTGCTGGCATGCGTGCGTATGTACAAGTATGCGTGTGTGTGCTTGCATGCACGTGCGTATGAGCATGTATGCGTGTGTTGCGTTGCATGCGTGGGTAATAGTACATGTATGGCGTGTGGCGTGCAGTGCGTGCCGTAATGTACATCGTATGGCGATGGTGCGGCATTGCGTGCGGGGGGGAGGGGGAGGGGGAGGCGAGTAGGGGGCGAGGGGGGGGGGGGGGGGGGGGGGGGAGGGGGGCGGGACTAGCGGGGCGGGGGGGGGAGTGTGGGGGGAGTAGAGTGGATGAGTGGAAGAGTTAACCAGCTACTAGCGTGGCTAGATTGTGCAAGAGCCAAAAGAGAGCATGTGCAGTCTGTGCGTGAGTGCATGTCTACTGTCTCGTACAATCTTATGACATCGTGCATCTCTCTGCACTGCCGTAGATGAAAGAGCGGTGCGAACATCTCGTGCGAGCAGATATTCGGGCGCGTGCGCGAGGGAAGATATGCACTCTTATGTTTTCGCGCACGCAGGACGTAGGATCGCCAGCTAGGAGGAGGCGGACGGCGCATGCGTATCGTGGCGATTACTTTCCTGACGGAGCGACGCCCGCACTTATAATCGTAGCGAAGGACGAGGCTTACGATTTTGGCATTGTCAGCCGATCTGATGAACGTCATCCTCAGCGCATGGTGAGCGCGCTCCACACGATCTACTCCGTTCTCCGTTACTACTCTCCGTCGCTATACGTTGCATCTCTCTACATCCTCGCACTCTGCATAGCTGTCGCATCTCTCACTCTCTTCGTCTCATACTCTCGTCACTCTCTCTTACTCTGCTCTCTCTTCGTCTCTCTCAGTGTCTCATGTTTCTAGTCTTCGCTCTGATCTCTGTATCTCGGTGCATCTCTGTCATGTCTGCACTGAGTGCTCGTCGAGTCCTACGTTGTCCATGTCTCTCTCTCTCTAGTCTCTGCTACTCATGCTGCTTGCCACTCTCTCTCTCTCTCTTCTGCTGTCACATCGTGTCATCTGCTCTAACTCGTTCTGTGCACTAGTTGCTGAGTCTCTCTCTCTAATCCGTCTCCCATAGTCTCTCTCGTACTATCGTGCATCTTCTCTCAATCTCTCGCATTACATTCTCTCCCTCTCTCCCTCTCTCCCTCTCTCTCTCTCGCTCCCTCCTGCATGCATGTCCGTGTCCGCAGCAATACTCCCGGGGAGTTCTACTAAATGTTACGAGGAGGTTATGAGATGATAATTCTCAGTGGATTCACAAGTTTCTACAGGTAAGGGGTAAGGGTAAGGGTAAGGGTAAGGGTTTTTTCAGCTCCTAGGACCATTCTCGAGAACGTCCCTTAAAAATCGAATTTCCAAATAAGGGTGTCGGCCCGTCGATCGCCAATTTTTTAATAACTGATTCGCGATCATTAGCGAGATGAGTGTTTCCCACCACCTAATGAGCTAACGACCTAATGGGCTAACGACCTAACGAGCTAACGAGTTAATGAGTCGTTGTTGTTGCAGTTACCGCATCGGTCCGTTTGAGGTGGAGAGCGCTCTGATCGAACACCCGGCCGTGGCGGAGTCTGCAGTCATCAGCAGCCCCGATCCCGTTCGCGGCGAGGTAACGATGCACAGCATCCGTCCCTGCGAGGGCTTCCCGATTCATCGTCCGCGAGGGGGGGATGCTATTTCAATTTATATATTATGTATTATGTTTTTTAAACTTGGTGTTATTTTGGCTTGGTTTTTTTAGCATTGTGTTATTTTAATTTGGTGTTTTTTAACTTGGTGTTATTTTAACTTGGTGTTATTTTCACTTAGTGTTTTTTTGAACTTGGTGTTATTCTGACTTGGTTTCTTTTAACTTGGTGTTACTTTGACTTGGTTTTCTTTTAACACGGTTTTTTTTTAACTTGGTAGATTTTTTAACTTGGTTTCATTTTAACTTGGTGTTATTTTTTGGTGTTCTTGGAACTCGGTGTAGCCTGTAGAGAGGTAATCGTGTGCTGGCTGCTGTGCAGGTTGTAAAGGCTGTGATTGTACTGACGGATGAAAACAAGGATTATGCCGATAAGGACGCTCTCATTAAAGAGATACAGGACCACGTCAAGGAAGTTACGGCTCCCTACAAGTACCCACGGAAAGTAAGTTATGAAGTTAGCTAGTGAAACATATTCAGCTCCTATCACCCCACCCTTTCTTTCCTTTCTTCCTTTCCTTTTCCTCCTTTTTTTCATTCCTTTGTTTTTTAGTTTCCTGTGCTCGTGCAATCGTTTGCTTAACTGTTTACAGCCTCACGCTCCGTGCATTTGTGTGCAAGTCAGTCTCTTAATTCATTCTCGAGTGACTTTTCTTTCCTATCTTCTCCATCTGTAAGTGTCGTGCGCGCTGAGTTTAAACATTTTGCCACCAGGTGGAGTTTGTGGAGCAGCTTCCTAAGACGATCAGCGGCAAGATACGGAGGGTGGAGTTGCGTGACAAGGAGTGGGGGCGTGTGAAAGAGGAGGAAAGTGAGGAGGACCTGAGTGCTGGCAACAAGTGAACAGACACACACCGACTCTGCCTGCACCGATGAATCGCAAGTTTTTTCTAGATTCATGGCATTTGTTTCTAAGCAGAGAGATTGTTTTTCTCTATGCAGTATTTTGCTGCCATGGTGGCATTTGTTGCTAAGCAGAGCGATTGTTTCTCTGTATGCAGTATTCTGCTGTCATGGTATTTGTTGCTAAGCAGAGCAATTGCTTCTCTCTGTGCAGTATTCTGCCATGGTGGTATTTTTACCGCTCTGCTGCACAGCTGCATTTTGGATATTAGACCATCACGTTTGGTGTTGTTTTTTAAACAAGCCTTTATATTTGCTATGTTATGTCTTTGTTATGTAGTTTCACTTGCCAGGTTATATTGTCATTATGTGATGTAGAGGGTATATATTTAGCTTTCATAGAGGGTACACTATCTGCGAGATATCTGATGTGCAGCTAGGACTTTCCGTCTGTTCCTAATGTCGTCAGTGGTCGGGTGTGTTGTTTTTTCAACGTGACATCCGTCCTTTTTGTACTTTTGCTAAACATCACTACATGCCTTTTCCTAGTTGTCTGTAATGACATTTCGCATGATGTAATGATTCTTGGTGTTGGATGAGGCAAGGCTATAAATGTAAGGACAGTGCCAAGCGTGTTAGAACGATACATTTTGACACATGTCTATTTCATGGTCAACAGTTCGCAATGCTTGTCTAGTTCAGGTTAGTACACGATGTAAGTGTAGTTTAGGTTAGTGTGTGATGCAAGTGTAGTTTAGGTTAGTGTGTGATGCAAGTGTAGTATAGGTTAGTGTGGCTGAAGGGGTCGTTGTCGTATCAGGTACTACATATATGTACCCGAGGTACATATATGTATACCAAGAGTAGATAATAACACATTGTTAACACATGTGTTATTATCTACTCTAGATGTATACACAAAGTGTACCAGACTTGTACTACAGAAGTGTACCCTAACCCTAACCCTAACCCTA